TTAGCTGTTTCCATACAGGATATAGTCAACCTTCATTGACCAAACAGTTCACATTAATGACAGTTGAATGTTGTAAAAACTTTTTTTTTTAAAACAGTTTTGCTGGAAAACAGGCTTCTCAAATCCATTAAAATTGCTCATTCTTGTACCAAAGGTAGTTTCCTCTTTTACCTATTTCTTAAGGTAGTTAATAGAATACTGCAAAATGATTGGTAAAAAAAAATTTCTGCAGTTTGTTCATTATCAAAATAATTTAACTAATATACAGCATAAAATAGTTTTGACTGTTTAAGAAATGGTGGTGGAACATCTTGTGACACTGCATTTTTCTTTTCAAGTTGAACAAAACAGCAACAGAAACAAAGATGTTTCCTGGAGCCAATGGAGAGGGTTCTGTTGGAAGCAGTAAATGTCCTGAATAGTTTATAAAAGTTCAAGAAAGGCAATTTTTATTTGAAGGATAAAAAACAAAAAATACAGCAATATACCAAAAGAATTTGAAAGTGATAACTTGCAAATTCTTTTGGATTTGCAAAGTATTAAGAAATGTCATGTCAAAAAAAAAAAAAAAAAAAAAAAAAAGAAAAAAAAAGAAAAAAGAAAAAGAAAAAAGGATACCACATGAATTGTCAGAACTAAGCATTGGTTAGTATCTGACCACTGCATTCCAATTCGTGTCAGACTTGAAAATATTTTTGCAAAGTGTTTTCAGAGATGAAAAGTAGATTCACTGTAATAACTGAAGTGTTGAAAATCCTAGTTGGATTCAAGATAACATGCAGTATCAACAACAAACCATAAACTTTTTGAAAAAAGTTAATTTGGTAAAATATAAAAGGCATACTGTATTATGAATTGCTGAAGTGTGGTGAAAAGGTTACTTCAGAGCATTAGTGATCACCTTTGAATTTTGACAGCAGCCATTTACAGAACAGGGAAGCCAGAAAGTCATACTGTTACATGATAATTGTTAGCCACATATTGTTGATCAAAAAAGGCCATAATGGTGTTGAAACAAGAAATGCTTCTTTGCACAACATATTCACCTGATTGGGTCCATTGTGTTTTGATTAGCATTCTTTGTTAAAAAATTTTCAGTATTCAAAATTTATTGATAACATTACTGTTATAGAGAGATATTTTTTTATCAAAATCAAATAATTATGGAAGTTTGGGGTAAGGTCACAGAAAATTAAGAAAAACATTTTCATGATTAATATATATATTAGTTATTATTAATATTGACAACCTCTGCACACATCTGTCAATAATAGATTGTCATCTTAATGTTCCAAGAAGCTTACAGTTCAACCACAAAAGATAATCAACAAATGCACAAACAGTTTTTAGGTACTTCCACTTTTATGCTTATGGAAAAAGGCCCCAAACTTAATAAAAACAAAATTTTGTTATCAAAATGTTTGTCTTATTATTAAGAGGAAAGACCAAATTATTTTTTTATTATTTTATTAAATTTCTTAATTCTTTCTAGCACGTTTGAAATTTTGGTTAAAAATCTTGTTTTGTTTTACCTCAGTGATCTATGGAATATTTACAATTAATGTTTTAATGTCTTTTTTTCACATGAAAACCACATTGATTTAGAAATTCTTGCAGAAATCAAATAGTCAGATTTTAATGAAACTTTCAGAACTTATTCACAAATGAATGAAATTATTTTTGATTTTTTTTTTTTTTTAAGAAAACGTTGGTAATTTTTTTTTATATAATGTTTCACACCCATTTACTTAATTTCATGAAATTTCAAATTAAATTTTAAATAGAAAATATTTTTTATTAGTTAAAAGTACTCTGGTTCACATTTTACACTTTTACTTTTTCTTGAAAATTGATTTTTTTTTTCAAACTACTACTCATTTCCTGAAAATCTGTTCTGAATCAGAAAATAAAAAATGCTATAAAACTATGACATTATTTAATTAGTAAAGCTTTCAATTGCTTTTTATAAATAAGATTTATTAAGGACATTATTGTCTTAAGAAAAAAAATTTTTTTTTTTGATGAATAATGAATCTTTACAATTGTTTTAATTTTTTAAAAAATTTTAATTCTAATTTATAATAAATAAATCTTAAAATTCTGTATTAATGTATTAATTTTGATATTATTAAGTGAAAACTATTTACTAATCAAAATTGAAAAGCTTAACACAAAGTATCTTACACCAATATTTTAAAAATAGTTTTTAATTTTTTATGTATCATCAAGTAATATTTTATATATTACTTGATGTGCCCATTTGAAAGAATAATCGACTATACAGATTATCAGAAAATAAGAGCGATGACGATAGTAAATTTAAAGTCAATATTCCTAAAATTACAGAATATTTTCCAACATTTTTAAGATGAGTACTTAAAAATTATATAAAAGAAAAAAGGTGCTCACCTGTCATTTTCTTAAATATGTTTTAACAGATAAAATCTCCATAGAACAATAAAGCTATTGACACATTTATCTACACTTGTTAAAAATCCATTTCTCTGTTATTTTAAACTAAAGTAAATAATAATTTTTTTCATATCAGATTAATTATACTTTAAATCAGCTAATATTCCTGAAAATAAAGTTTGAGAAAAGTACATTTTATTTTTGGAAGATTTTTAAAACCCAGAATTAGCTTTTGTTTACAGATGTGTCAAAAATGGCTGATTTTAATGACTTTATTTCATTTTAAACCTTAAGTACCTAGTTTACATCAATGAAAGATTTGGGATTCACATTTGTTTAGTAAAAATTAGGTTTAATGTAATTTTGAATCAACTTTTGACCTGCAGTTAAAGTTTAATCTTAAAATAATTACTGCTACTATATTTTTAGACTTATTCACTTCAAAACTCATCAAAAGATTTCTCAGATTACTTTCAATTGTTTTCTTGATCAATGCTTTCAAAAGATTAATAAAAACATATTTATATAACATATTTATTTATAAAAGAACTAAAAAGATATGAATTATTTAAATCAGCAAAATTAAATATCTTCCTCTATATTCATTCATTTTTTCATATCATTAAAAAAATTCAGATATGAAAAGAATTATTAAAAATATCATAAATAAGTTTTAACAGAGTTTAAGCAATTTATAAGAACTTTAAAATAAGTACCAGAAAAGTTTTGTCCAATCATATGAAAAACTTTTCTGATCAGGGCTTATATCTGCTAAATTAGATTTTATTATTCTTACATTCACAGTTATTTCTTGACATAGGTGCAATGCTCACTCTAGTTGGTTATATTTTACCTGTCACCTAATCTCTAGTATATGTCCTGTTATGGTTCTTTCTGAGATAATTTTACCAAGTGAGCTGTTATGATAAAAATACTAAAAATATCAACTCACACTGGTTCCTTTTCATTTTATCACTTCTTTCTTTGTATGGTATAATGAAAAAAAAGCAAAAAAAGCTGGCCCCAGCCCCAAAATTCATAATAATAATATTGGAGTCATTACAAAATCAAAAAGAAAATATGAAAATATGTCAAAAAGACATAAATCCAAACTATCATGACTCATTTGTATTCCACATAAATCAATGTTCAAGAAGAAAGTATAAAAATACAAATGAAAAAGTATAAAACATGAAATTAAACTTTTTTTTAAAAATAAAAGAATAAAAACAAAACAAGTTTATGGTGGCAGAGGTTATATTAAGCATATGGTAGTGAGAAACAGAAATAATAAATATTAGAATGAAACAACATTTATTGTTGGTAGAGAATACAGGAATAGCAACTGGGTGTATGTGTAGTGTTGGGAGTTGAACTATTTTTATACCAGCATGGCTGAGGTCACAGGATACCGTTGGTGCACATTTGGTTGATGGAGATCACAGTTGTAGGTCGTCTTGTTGGTTGGTCGATCTGTTGGAGCCTATTCTGTGGAGTGAATGTTGCTGGGGTCGACTGTGAAGGGAATGCCTCATAAACGAGTTGAGGTAGGCTGAGGTGACAGCAGGTGTTGGGAGGCCAGTTCTGTGGAATGAAAGTTGCTGCGTCTACTGTGAAGTGAATCTATGTAAACGAGTTAAGGTAGAGGTGTTCCTTGGAACGGAGGTCGTTGTGGCAACTGTGAAGGGAATGCCTTGTAAGCAAGTCTAGGTAGAGCTGTTCTGTGGAATGGAGGTCACTGTGTATTCTGTGAAGGGAATGCCTTGTAAACGAGTCGAAGTAGAGCTGTTTTATGGAGCAAATGTCGCTGGGGTTGACTGAAGAGAATGCCTTGTAAATGAGTCAAGGTAGGCGGCGGTGATGGTGTGTGTGTGTGCTAACAGTTGTTGAGATGTGCAGTCACGTTGAGTGGTGGCATTGAAGGGGGTGGTAGTAGTGCTTTGCATGGTGGCCAGTCCACAACTGTTGATATGTTGACCAGGTCATGGTGAGCCACAACTGTGTCTGGTCATCCTCAGAACCTGCTTTTAAGCAGGTCTTGTAGTCTCAAGGGGCATCTCTTTTACCGGTGGGAATGTTCGTGATTGGCCACCACTGGAGTTCACTTTGTAGACCAGATGTGGTGTGTGCAGCCCAACGCACAGAAAATGACTTTTGTTATTTCGTTTTCTGCCTTCGAGGTGTTCACATCTAGCCAGAATGAACAAGATGAGATCTAATTGCGACGGAGTATAACACAGATATGAAACAATAAAATAAGAAAAAACAGAAGTGAAAAAATGTGAACCAGAGTACAAAAAAACATAATAGAGCATATGATAGAACTGAATATTCTGCACTAGGCATGTTCATTTGGAGACAGAAATTATGACAAAACAATATTTAAAATTCATTGAATATTAATATTATTCATTTCAAAATATAAGAAAAATTAGATTATTGTTTTAAAAAAAAAAAAATCAATCCTCTGGCAATTCAAAGAATTAACAATATATAACCATATATGTGCATGTATGTGTGTGTATTGCAATAACAAATTAGCAATGAATCCTGACAGTATAAGTTTGCTTTTCTACAATATTACTTACAATTATTGGACATTTTAAAATTCTACAGTCCTCCTGATATCTAGCACAGGTTTTGATCTCAGCAGGCTCAAGTGTCAACCCTTAAAAAAAGGAAAGTAAAAGAAAAAAATTAAATCACTCATATCCATGTGTGAATTTTTTTTTTATTCACAACAACCTAAAGTTCATCTATACCTCTATAACATAACACCATGAATAGCATTCTCAAATCCAATATAAAAGTTCACCTAAGGACTTCAAATCAGAAATTCTAAATATCCCAAGTATGTTTCATTATACTTCCTGGAAAAGTCATATAAACATGACATTAATGTTTTTACAGTTATCAAATTTGTTTCTTCTTGAAAGTAATCTCATACATATCTCATGTCTCAGAAATATTGGTTCTTGTATAACAATTGGATATTTATAAGGATCCAGTATATGCTTAAAAATACAGCTTGACAGTAAAGAAAATTGGCCTAACCTAGCTTTAAAAATCCTACAATTCTTTAAAAGAAAAAATACAGTAACAGAAAAACAAGAAAACTAAACAAAAGGAAAAAATCTATTGTAAAAAGTATGATGTTGAGAAGGGGGGGAAATAAATATGTATATAGATACATAACTATATATTCATGCAGACAAATTGTATTAAATTAATTCAGTTTGTGTAATTTTTTTTTTCATTTTTCTAAGTTTTGAATAAGTTTGTAGGCAAACTGTTCAAAAGATAATGTTTTGTCTTTGTTGCCTAAATATATATTATTTAATCTACATGTCCATGTAGCAAACAAAGACACTAATCCCACAAAATTCAGTCATACTTTGATAGTGTGACATTAAGTGGCATTGGTAAAAGGAAAGGGTTAAATTAGAACATGAAATGGAATGAACGAAAAGTATGAAATAACATCTAAACTGAAAAAAGGAAGAAAAGAGAGACATGAAAAGAATGACTTTATTGGTTTTTGGAAAAGATATTATCAAAGGGCTATGTAGAAGTTTTCAGACAAGAAAGGATAGTGATAATACACTCAAAGTCAGTTGAGAATTCTGGAAATGAAGCAGAAATGATTTATGTCTGCTTGCTAAATTGGAAGTTACGAAAACATGTCTCATGATTACAAGACAAGAAGGGGTTAATTGAGTTATAATGTTTGGTAATTTTGGAAATGAAAGCAGAATCGAAAAACTGATTTATGCTTGTCTGTCAAAGAGTGGAAATCGAGAAATATAGGTTTTTGAGATAAGAAACGAACCTGTAAGGTTCATAAGTATGATTAAGTAAACAAGATATAAAGCCAAATACTGCTATTAGTGGGGCAAAAAGAGACAGCTGATAATTTTCTGATTGCATAAACAAGACCAGGAGCTGAGAAAAATTTATTGTTGAAAATTAAAGATAATTATAATCAACTAGCAGTAGAGCCCAGCGTTGCCCGGGGATGTAACAGTAAGAGATAGATCAAGTATCGACCATCATAAAGACTGAAAAATAAAATTGACAAAGGTTATTGTTTAAGGTTGATGGACATGCATGTCTTAATTAGTTTTTTTTTTTTTACGAATTGGTCAAACCCAAATTCAAACAAAAACATTGTTTATAATCGTTATGAGTCTATCGATTGGTGAATAGAATTTTATTATAAACAATTGTCTTGTAAATGGAATTTTTAAAGCATTCTGAATGTAAAAATAAAGAAAAAAAATGTGCAAGACAATAAGAATCACTACCTGCCAAAAAAAAAAAAAAAAAGTGAGGTTTGTTGAAATCGGTTGAAAAATGTAGGTAGCCTTTCTCTGTAATCTTTTACAATTTATGATTTTTACTTATTGAATACAGTAAAAAAAATTGCATATTTTGCTTGTGGTGATTCATAATTAGAATTCTGATTTGAATATATTTTTCACTCGTTGTTTCTAATACAAAAAATATTAACTTTATTTGGGTTTATTAATTTATTACAAGTACTGTGTTTATCATCTTCGAAATATTGTTTTCTATCAGATTTCTTACGTCGGCATTTTTAAATTATTTCTTAATATTTTCTTTTAAATATTGAATTAATTTCAAATAGAACCAATGCCTTATTGATCTGCCTTGTAACAAATTGCAAAGGGAATTGTAAAAACGGCCCTAAAGTACGTGGAATTATCTTTCCCTAAAGATAAAGAATTATCCGATTTTTCGATTCGTACAATCAGTAGAGATCATTAGATTATTGTTTAGGTTGACGGACACGCATGTCTTAGTTTGTTTTTTTTCTACGAATTGGTCAAACGCAAACAAAAACATTGTTTTCAATATTGTTATGATGAGTCCTCTGATTGAATAGAATTAGAATTTTATTATAAACAATTGTCTTGTAAATGGAATTTTTAAAGCATTCTGAATGTATTAAATAAAGAAAAAAGTGTGCAAGACAATAAGAAATACTACCTGCCAAAAAAATAGTGGATGTTTGTTTTATCGGCTGAAAAATCCAATCCCATATATAAAGGAACACACACACACACACACACAACCTGGGTTTTTTAACCTAAGTCACTCCAAAACATCACTAAAACAGAGCATAGTCTGATGAAAAAGACGCCAAAGTTTATGAAAACAAAAATTTTATCATCAAAATGCTTATGTTTTTATGAAGAGGATAGACTAAATTTTTTAATTATTTTAAAAATTTTTTCCATCTTTTAGAATATTCTAAATTTTGATTTAAAAAACCTTGTTTCTCTTTGTCGCAACAAGGGTAGTAAATAACAGATAATTTTTGTATTTACACATTAATTTGGAAAATCTTGCAAAAAATAAAAATAATTGTCAGATGTAATGAAACTTTCAGAAACTATTCACAGATGATCGAAATTATTATAAATATGTTTTTTTTTTTATTAAAGTCATGGCAGAAATATTTTTTTTTTATATTTATTAACACCCCATAACTAATTTTATGAAAAACTCTAGAAATTCGAGACCATCGGTTTTAGTGATTACAATAGTTAAAAGCACAAGGCTTTGAAGAATGCAAATCATTTTTTTTTTTTTTTTGGCCAACGTAGTGAAAATCAGTTGTGAATTGTAACATACAAAACTCAATAAAACAAATATATTATTTAGTTTCAAATGCTTTTATTTGTTTTAATTTGTTTTTATGAATATGGACAATATTTTCTGAAAGTAAAAAATTTTTTCAATGAAAATTGAATTTTTAATACAATTATTTCTTATTTCTTTAATTTTTTAAAGATTTTAAAAAATTTTTTAAATTGAATTTTTTAAAATATTTTAACATTAAAAGCAACATGAACCTTTCAAAATGTCCGTGTGAGATTGTCATTGTCTAGCGCTTTGAAAATTGTATAATTTGGACCAATCAGATTAGCCATGGTAATTAAGAAATGTAATTTTTTGTGTTTATAGTCGGACAGTAATTATCAAGTACGGAAGACCAACCAGAATACAATTTAGTTGCATTATTTGAGTTCAGCATTGTTCTCCGCTGTGAAGCCCTTTACTTTTTGCTAAAAACACGTATGGAGAAGTTAATTTGAGTTTTCAATTTCAACTGAGAAGGGTACCTACAAGTAACAGTATCATCTTATGAAATTTAACTACTGCTAAACTTTAATTTATATGATCTTATTTTTATATTAATCTCAGTTATGACATTTTTCCATAAATGAAATATCAAAATTAATAATAAAATGAATGGAAATACAAATAACACAGTAAAATGTAATAAATGTACATAAAATTATAGTATTTTATGTACACTTCTGATAAAATTTCATAAGAAAGGTACCTAAATTAATTAGATACCTTTTCCTTATGAAATTTAATCTCACTATTATTAGTCTTATTTTTTTAATTTCTTTATATTTTCCATAAAGCATCGTAAACGTAAAAATGAAAGCTAAGTACAAAAAAAAATAAATAAAAATTTAGAGCGCTGAAAGTTTTCCTTAAAAGTAACGAGGTAAATAATTTGTTCACTTAAATAATTTCACTTCCTTCCATCCGTAGAAAGAATTATCCTCCCGTAAGTTATCTAAACGTCATGAATGTGCCTTTAAAAATTAAAAAGCGGCTAAAGGTTATGACCCGCTTTGTTTTATTTTCAAATTACATTAAGTTAAGCTTGGTTCAAAATATTTTAAATAAACAGTATAATTTCTGTTTTTATTAAAATCAGTTTTGAAAAAATGATAATTGATTTTTAAAAGAATATCAAAGTAAGATTTTAATCTTTTTTATCAAATCGAAAAAAATGATTGAAAATGATTGATTATCTGTCCTTCTTTTTAACGAAAATTTCAGACGTGCTATGAACGATTAAAAAATGTAAAAAAATACTTTGATCTTTCCTCTTTAATAATAATATGAACATTAGACGATAAAATTTTGTTTTCGTCAAGTTCGGCTTTTTTTCATCATGCTATGCTCTTTTGTTTACATTTTCGTGGGTGAGTTGTCCCCCTTTCATTCTCACGCTGTGTCTTAATCGTGTTTTCAAATTGATTTTGTTAAAAAAACAATTTTGCTTTTCCCATTTTCGGCGCCGTTAGAACCATCACAAGGTAATTTTTTATGTAGTCCTGTGAAGTTTTTTTGTTGAAATCGGAAAAAAATGTAGGAAATTCGATCCAATATATAAACGTTACAGACACACACACACACAATCTGCGTTTTATAATAAGTAAGATGAGTAAAAGTTAAGACTGCCTTTTTGCCTATGCAGTTTAAAAATCAGATTTGTCAAGGTGTCAAGCTAAGATACTAAGAGAGACAGAGAAATTACTTACAGTAAGAGGTAATTGTGTGAGACAATAAGAGAAGGAATGAGTTATATGGGTGGCCCAATACTTGCAACAACTATCCATAAGAAGAAGGGATCTCCTAAAATTTGAGAGATACTTAATATTGTGAACCAGACTACAAAGAACTCTTGTTCAAAATAATACAGAAACCTGGTCTTGAGTCAAAGTCAATATAAGCAGAGCACTTAAGTGACCCAGGCAGATGGGCAATGA